GTAGTTCTGCCTTTTGCAATGCGTCAGCTCACGTCAGTTTCTATGCGCCCATCAATACTGATGCAGCTGCCAAGACAAGTGAAATGATCAACCACCTCGAGTTCCTCGTTAGCAACCGTCAAGTGGTCATCAAGTGGCTAGTGGTCCTGCAGCAACACTTTGCACTTTGAAGGTGCGAAGTGCATACCAAATAATGGGACCACTCTGGACAGACTATTCATGGTTGATTGTGCCGCCGCAACATTGTCGAAAAGCAAGACGATATCGTCCGCATAATCTAGATCAACTAACCTTACACCAGGCAGCAGTTCAACGCCTACATCGTGAGATTCCGCAAGGGAACACTCCATGATAGAATCCACGACGAAATTGAACAAAAATGGGGAAATCGGACAACCCTGACGAACGCCACTTGTGGTCGGAAAACTATCCGACAGGACACCATAGACCCTGACGCGGCCTGTAGCGTTCGAGTATAGAGCACGAAGAATGTTCACATATTTCATGGGAATATCTTTCCGCGCAAGTATTTCGAACAGAATCGATCGATCGACGGAATCGAACGCACACTTGAAATCGAGGAACACAGCTATTGTCGATCTGCGGTATGCGTGGCGCTGCCCTAGCACCTGCCGCAAAGTGAATATATGGTCTATACAGCCATGTCCTGAGCGGAAACCGGCCTGCTCTTCCCTAATCCGAGATTCCCGTTCCGCAGTGAGGCGACGAACGATAATCGAGGCCAATAATTGGCGTTAGGCTAATACCCCTGTGGTGCGCACAGTCTGTGCGACTGCGCTTCTTGGATATTGCCACTATAATCGATTCGCTCCATTAAGCCTGGACACTTCCTTGCAGACACGTTCGAATAGGGAGGTCAGCGATTTGCAGAGCACCTCGCCTCCATCATTAAATAGTGCAGGTAGGAGGAACTCCAGGCCAGTGGTGCGAAAACCATTAAGGGCTGTGATCGCGTTGCGGACCTCGACCTCTGACGGAGGCTCTAAACTAACCGTCAATGGCTCGTCCTGCATCACTTGAGTAGAAAGACGTCCAAGAGCAGGGGGCCAGCTGAACTGATCTTGAAAGTGTTCCGCCCAACCGCGCTCCTTATTGTGTATCAGTACACCCGCGCTGTCTGGTTGTCTCACCGACGCCTGGTTTCCTGGGACCAGTGTTGCGGATCAGCTGGAAGAGCTTGCGGTAATTGCCTACTGCTCCTGCCTCCTTCATTTCTTGAGCCCTACTGGTCCACCAGCACGTAGAATCCGCTTTAGTTCGCGCCGAATAGCCCATCTGGTCACATTGTGATAAAAGTTAGCCAGGAGGTTTCTTCTAGATTCCAACAGGTTCACTGACCTCTCGGATACCCAGTGACTGGTGCAGTGACGATGGATAGTGTCACAAGCAGATGCTTCTGTATCGCGCATGGCGGCCGAGATCCTATTCCACTGTAGCTCAGTGTCATTAGGACAAGACAGTGAATAGTTCGGTACGCGATGCGTCTTGATAGGCTTGTCTTACCGATGGCTGAGACACTTTCTCAGTTGCCAATCGGAGGAGACGCTTGGTGCGCCTCCCGGTAAAGTTCATGGAGAAACGACAGCGTACCAAGGCATGATCAGAGTCGACGCAGGTACCCCAGTACGAGCGGCAACCCAGGATGGAACCTGCAACTTATGATTATGTGGTCAATTTGGGTCCATTGCTGGTCAGCTAAAGGAAAACGTCAAGTGGCACTTCGGCGCTCACTGTGTCTAAAAGTAGTGCTACTAAGAAACAACTGGTGCTCCACACACATTTGCCGCAGACGCTCTCCGTTGTCAGTCCGTTCGGAGTTAAACCTATAATGTCACCCAACTGAGCTTCTGAAGAGCTGACGCCCTACTTGTGCGTTAATATCCCCTGCAAGTATCATAATATATGAACCAGCAGCACTGCGTAGTAGCGCGTTCAGTTCTTGATAGAATGTCTTTGATAGCATTAGAACTGCAGTCGGTGGGAGCATAAGCGGAAATCACAAACAGCATTTTGTACTACTTCGTGAATCAACCTTAGCTGATGTCGTCAAAAGGGATGCATATAAACGGCTGTTCACCGGAATCCAATCAACCAAGGATGAATCAGCATTGGAACTTAGAAAGATACCTAAACCAGCTTGACCCGTGAGTGCTGCGTCGGCGTCTCCGGATGCGTGCAACCAATAACGAGAGGAGAAGCCGAGTGTAGTTAATTCAACAACCCCATTAAGGTCACTGACCATAGTTTCGGACACACAACACATCAATACCCAGTGTGTCTAAGGTGCGTGCGAGTGCACCCTGTTGACCAATTTGTCTTAGAGTGCGAACGTTGAAGGGGACAGCGTGGCCTTAAAAGGGACTGTTGCCGACGAGCGTCCGGTGCGTGTCGCGACGTGGCTGCAGATGGTTCTACCCCAGTAGCACTTCGGTTGCTGTCAATTAAGCTGGGAATTATAGAAGGTTAGTAATGGGAGTCGGGATGGGAGTAAGAGAAACAGGTGGAAAAGAAAGGAGGCGTTAGCAGTAGCATGTTTTTACTTATCCGCCATGCTGTATGCAGCAGATAAGGTGGCCCTTGATAATCTGCAAGACGGCCGATGGAGGATAAAGTTCATGTTTGAAGAAAAAATTATGGTTATTGTGGCGCAAAAATAAATAAATGGGTCGTGGTTAGAAAGATAGACTAAGGTGAGGGACAAAGAAACTCACAACATAAACGCCACTGAGGTCAGCTCCTAGCCATGTCAACAAGTGTATCCAGCCAAGCGTGTTCAACGTCCTTCGACCCCCAACCAGGGAGACGGAGCTACAAGCGAGGCCGAGTTCAAAGAAGGGCCTTCATTCCTATTAACCAAGTCATCGTTTGGCCACTTCTCCTCTATTATCCGCAGCTCTGTCGCGCAAACAACGCACGACGCAGGAGCGAGTGTGCTGGCAAGTGCATCACGTAGCCCAGCTATCGGAGCCTAGTGAGTGAAATAACGGTGTTGAGCGATTCGCTTCTTCTTCCTGTGCCATAAACGAGGCGTCGAGCACGCTCATTGCTCACAATGTTCCCGCCAGAGTGTAGCCAAACTGCAGACACCAGTGGTCGGTTACTGACCCCTACGTCAGCAGATCTAATGAGCCCGGTTTCACAACCGTATAGTAGAGTCGAACGTACGGCTGCATTGTACACTGCCCTACAAGGAAAAAATGATATCGAGCCGACACCATAGGTGGCGAAGGTGCCTCGAGCTCTTGCTATACGGTTTGTGACCTTTTCTTAAATTCTAACGGCGCCAATACAGCTACCTAGGTAGTTGAACTGGAACAATTTCAGCGCAGGTGGGGTTCCCTGCTAATCTTGAAGGATAGTCTTGCACTTGGAGGGTGCGAAGCATAGCTCAAAACAATTGACAGCCTGTGCTAATCTGTCCAATGCCGCTTAGCACGTTTGGGAGCTGTCAAAGATGAGGGCAATATATACTCAGCAAGAAGTCGTTCACCCGGGAGCAGCCCTCCCTTTGAAGTATTCTGTGAACGCGATTTCCATGACTTCGTCAATAGCAAATGTGAAGAGAAAAAGTGACAGCGGGCATCCTTATCTTACACTGCTGTAGATATTGAAGGAAGGCGACAGTTTGCTGTAAGCCCTTACTCTGCATGAGCTACGCGCGTAAAGCGTTCGCATAAAATGCACATACTTATAGAGCACATTTTCCCTTAACAGACAGTAGAAGGGTCACATCGATCTAATTAATAGAAAGCACCTTTGATGTCGAGTAACACGACTTAAGTGGGCCGCCAATATATGTGAGTGCTACAACTGACACAGTACTTCTCAAGATCGTCATTAACGGCTTTCCGTCCACTAATCACACAGATGGCCTAATCTACGCTGACGACCTAAAGCAGTGGATAGAAGTATTCAGCCTGAAAGGAGTTGACAGATTAAAATCCACGCTCAATTTTCTTCATGATCGGTCAATGAAATAGCGATCGCCAGTGTAACTCATTTGGATCTTACCACATTAGTGGTTCTCTGCTCAGAAACGCAACCCATGAGAGGAATCCTAGAGTGAGTGTATTTGTTCTCAAATTTATTCAAGAGACGCAGAAGAGGGTCATCACGGCCCACATGATACTCCATTATATAGGTTGAGGGTTTTCTCACCTGAACCTAGGGCTTTCCCGACTCCTGTTTATCACATATGTACGCCTGATGCTCAAGTACGGGCTACCCCCTGCCTATCCTCTCAGCTAATCCGAGTGTGATGTGATAGGTAAGGTTCAACGGCGTGGATCTAATCCGTCCCTGAGTTGTTAGAAATCTTAACCACTCTGACTTCAACGTCTGAGATTGTTTTCCAAATTACCGTCGTCCTCGCAGAGATTTAATATTCACTCGACGTATTCTCAGAAAAGTTGGTGTGAGAGTTACAGGACACAACACTGTGTGCCCCCGCTTGAATCTGTTCGAACCAAGGAATCTCGGCATGCGGCCCAATCCGGTTTTACTTCTTGAGTAGGGAATAATTGGAACCGGTTGCTAGAGCCTATCGTCGATGCTGTGACAGGAAGGTTTCCAAGAAATGTTGGATTCCCACCTGAGTGCGTTGGGATTCCGTTACTTCTAAAGCGACTGCAGTGGTCCTCTGCAAAATCTTGTTTCGCAATGACCCATGTCATCTCTGCAACGATCAGGGAGTGAAGGAGCTGACAAATGATCTCCCTTCTGCTCCCTATTATCTAATGTTCGAATGAATGAATGAACGCAATATTTAGCACGAGGACATCCTAAAACCGTGCGCGCATGGGTTTGCACGGGTTTACACTTGTTGACTAGAGACCGCCCGACTTCAGGTGGAGTAACAGCAAACCGGCGAACAAATAACGCATGGAAATGGTGAAAATATGCAAATGCTTTGATGCAGCCGTCACCATATAATAACAAGCAAAGGTAAAGGTTACAGTAAAGAGTGAAATGTAACGTACCCAGTTTCCAACTTAGTGCACAGACCGAGAGCCTCAACCTGCTGAAGTGCCTTTCGAATGACGGACTGATTTGCTAGGGTGCGGTGAGAGGGCTTAACACCTCTGCGTTTCTTCCTAGAAAAGATGCGAGTCATGCCCTTCATGCCTGTTGGCCTCAAGTAGAGATGACGCAAAACTGCAGCGCAACGAACGTAGAACCAATCAGGATCGTAAGGGGCCAGTTCGTTGGCCCGATTCAACTTGACCAAATCAGTCCATTCAGGCTGCTTTACTTTACCAGACCTGGGATCAACAAATGAGTAACAAACACTTACTTCTTTAAGAAATCTGCCAGAGCCTTTACAAAAACATGGCCGTTTATATCCTTCACTGAAGTAGGAGCCTAAAAATAGTATAAAAATGCCAAGCGACTCACCATGGTAGCGCGCCTTTGTGGAACCAATAAAAGCGATAGATTATAACAAGAACGGTTTCCTCGTGATAATAATATTTTGCTGTATTCACTTTCTGCTTATTTAGGTACCAGAAACAAATACTTTTATTTATGCATCGATGCACCTAAATGGAAACTCGTAGTACCCTGCAATCCCTGAAGTGCATGCTGAAATGATTACATTGAGTTATTCAGAAGGCTAGAGGAATAGCAATATGAGAAAGAAACCCAAAAACAGGTTTAGAACCAAAAGCTGTCAGGATACGAGATGCATTGAAAAAGTGGAAGAATTATTACTGCCACCAAAGAGCATCTTCCTTTGTTGTCGATCAAGTTTACCTACAGGTATGATTGGAAGGACACGAAAATAACCTGCACGTTTCTTCTTGAGCGAATCGTTAAGCTGGTTCATGAGATGGCGCTCCTAGTTCTTGATGTTGCTAAAATGAAATTTTGTTATTACCTTGCTTAACGAATTATCGCCCACATTTCTGTGCTTGCAGGCCACGCTGAGTCCGTCTATGGAAGTGCTGTGGAGCAAAAAGGGCACGTAGAAAGGGATGATTTAAATACAAGACAATACCAGCGGGTGGATGAAAGTGCCGCATGCAATATCAAAATAGTTGAATGTACATGGTTGTAGTGGATCTTTGCTTAAGATTTACAAATGCCGGGGAGACTGGAACGATGTGAGAATCTCTTTAGTGTTCCTTCTTGATTGGGCGGTTTATTCAGGAGTTGATGAAGGATGTTCTGACTTATTGTTGAACCAAAACCGAAAACACCTAAACCAAACCCTGGTCTACTATTTACTGCCCACGTTCCCTGATTTAGCAGTCCCAGATCTGTCGCTGCTTAGCTTGCGAATTGTAGTAAATTTACCGACCATTCAGGCTTTTACTATCATTATAATACCTCATCAAGCTTGCCTTCCGATACAAGGATAAGTTACTGATATCTGTTTTAGACCGAAACCTATATCGCGGTATGACAACAGAATCCTTCCATCTCTCAGGATACTGGCCCGACTGTAAGGACAAGGAAAAATGTTCAATACTAGTACGGATATATCAACACCACCAAAATTGTTCACAGTTGAAGGGATATCAACAGAACGGGGGCTATGGGATTGCTGGAGGAAGAAACTCAAACTTGTATTGCATCCGATACTGAAGTAAACAAGTGAAATAATTGCGGGAGTGGCTGTTGAGACAGAAAGTGCCATAGTAACATTTTAAATAATTATATATATATTTATTTATATGTAAAATATGCAAGGCACGCCCATAGACGCCTACTCAAGTGGGTGCCACCGTAGAGGCATTTTATGGCAACGGTAACAGCAATAGTAAAAAATGGTTCCAACATTCGTGATACGTACCATACAACTTTGTAAATGTAAACTTATATTTTGGCTGTCGCAAGACCCGCTTATTAGGAAACGCTCAATCCGCCATATATTGTAGTCATATCAGTCAATAAGAAAAAGGATCCCGGATGCTCGATTATAAACTACTTCAAGCGTAAGATCGAGAGTGGTGGTGATATCCGGCCAGAGTTTGGACGTATCGCGAAGCTGAAGGCTATTTTCTTCGAAAGAATAGAGACGACTATGTATGCGTGCAATCGTAGAGCGACAACAGTTTATGCAGCTGTAGAAGCGCAGGTGTAAGGAACGTTGCAGGAATGGTGCAAATTGACCCTTTTTGGCTTGCCAGTGGGAAGTCATGTACTGTGGCGTTGTTCGGTGGCGGGCACATCCATGACGTCGCAGTTTTGTTCAGTGGCCAGGCGAACACTTCCTCTGTCCTGGAACACTGCCGCCGATCCACTGAATGGCAAGTTTTCTCTGGTTATGCTACTCGTTGTGTGTATCTTTGCTCGGTTCTTCGCAGTCAAGTTGCGTTCCAGCTTTCCGTTGGCTGATGCATTAAGCGAGCGCTGCAAGGTTCAGCAACTTGTGCACTAAAGGCATCTGACACGGCAATAGTCGTGGCGCTAACAAGACCGTCTGGTGCCATAATGTGGGAGGGTAGGTTTGTTTGCCACGATTTTCTTTCTTTCAATAAGTTAGTACAGCAGCTTTGCTTTGGCCTTGCAGAATGCACGCCTCTTTTGCCTACGGTGGGTAGCTTTTCTGGCCTAGTTTTCGACGGCAGGCCTCTGTGGGCACAAAAATAAGCTAACGTTCTTAGGTTTTCTTACGTTCGAGCTAGTCAGCGCATTTTTTCAAGCACTTTCAGTAATACCTGAGCTGGCCGAATGTCTCGCACAATGATATTGCTGGTGGTTTATAGTTTCAAAAGTTTTGAAGGTTGTGTTAAAACAGAGTCGGCACATCCAGTAGGTTATGGAAAAGAAATAATCAACAACAAAGTTGAAACCGGAGTATACTAAAAATGGAACCAATTTCACTCCTTGAGGAATGAAAGAACGTATTATTTTTTGGACCATTGCGGTCGACCGCGAATTTGCAGGCAGCTATTTTTCATTCGAATTATTGGAGGCCAGAGAAAATAGAAATAGGACCAAAAGTAAAAACTGGGTCTGGCACACTCATATTCGGAGTCCATCCTTCAGTTATAAGAAAAGGTATAGTGTTTGTGTGATTCCCGGTTGGTACGCTGTTAGATCAGCATATGTCAGGCAGTTTGCAGTCCCCACAAACGACGTTATTTTGCCGAGTACGACACAAAATGCACCTAACGATATGTACTGATTTTATCCCTTCCTATTTTATGGCACCCGATTGACGAAATATTCAACCATAATAACGCTTTCCAAGGAAAGCAAGAGTATCCAAAGGAAGCAAGACAGTGACAGATAAGCGGATGTGTACTCAGAAAAATCAGGTTTTTTGAGAGTAAATTATGCAGCATGCACCACTACCAATCTTTTGAGCACTTCTGAGAGTTTATACCCAACAAGTTTAATCACTTGCTATCTTACACTTGTGCTGCTCCAAGTTTCAATAAGTAAAAGGAGCAGATTTCTTTACACGCACGTAAGTAGGGCGCAAATGAATGCTATTAATTGGTGAACATATACTAAATAACACCATTTGGTAAGCATTATGACCAGAATTGGAGCCTCTATTCGCTTGTGAGCCATCCACAGTAACGCCTTCACAGCGAAAGGTACAGCATCCGTTGATATTGAACGGGTGGCAGAATGAGTGGAGCCGAACAAACACTACGTGGTACCAGCTGGGTAGTTCGGGCTTAACGTTTTCCAGCCAACCGTTCGGCAGCAGTTTTCCAGGACATGGCAGATTTTCGCCTGGCACGCAGCCATCCCTAAAAACCTGCCAATGTCTGCTTAACAACACTGTGACGTGAAGGATGTGACCCTCCACCTAATTACATTACTACCCAAGCTTATCAAATCCACAGACGTCAAACTTTACTTCTGACACGGGTGACGCAATCGAGCTCGTTCAGAAGAACATCAACACATTTATAAAAGCCAGCCACACATTGTGGAAAGTTTGACAGGAGTTAGTCGACAGAAACCCGGATTGGTACCTATTGCTAATGTTGCGTTGCAATGGAATGCAAAACATCCCGTTCTTTATTATTCTTTCAAGGGGCCAAAACGCAATGTTTGTTTGACTGATAGAACGACAACCGTCAGTATTTTGGCCACAGTCTGGTTTGGGTTGTCATGTGACACTTGAGTGATTCCAAACTGACGAGTAGTGACCATATTTCGTGGAAATGTTGAAGACATTTACGAGAAGGGGTTGCATGTCCGGACTTCAATGTTTCCGTACGGAAAGAGACACCGGCAGGATCTGGGTAGTTTGACAGTTCTAACGAGCCAAGTGTCCGCCTAATATCGTTACTTCCAAGTCAAAATGTGTATTTGATCTTCTGTGAAATTTGGATCATAGTTGTCAACGACGTCATTGCTGGTGAAGGAGCTACGGAAGTGTGTGTTCATGAATTCGCCGGGATCGACGGCACCAGTGACAATCCTGTTCTCGGGAAGCACGAGGGTTGTAATCGGCATACGTTTGGTGCAACATGGCTGCTACTTTAGTCGGATAAGGTAATTTGCCTTCTTGTCAATACAAAGCGTTGCGTGCTCAGGTGTTTGGCGCGCATTAGTTTAGAAACTTATGCCATCGACTGGGACCTCGTTTAGACGGATGCGCAGCCAAAGCTTTTGCTCTGTATGCACTGGAAGAGCATGTTCTTAATACTGCTGGCAACTTTGCGTGTGGAGGCCACATCAAGAGTCTGACGCTTGCTGATCTTCCGCTGTTTTGGAATGAGGACGTCGCTGCAAACTTTGAAATTGTCATAACCTACGCGGATCGCAGCATCTATACTGTAGGTGTGAGAAGTCATCCCGGGGTACTGCTGGAAGAAGGGAGACAAACACATCCCATTTGATGCGTTGGAAGGGCCGAAATACCTCACAGTTTGTGACTTCATGTTGAGGAGATTTAGGGAGCGCCAAGGACATCTTCACCGCCTTGTGGTCGCTGCCCAGTAGGTTAGCCAATACGCCGCAGCATGCGTTGGAGATAACGTTAGTTAATATTAGGTTAAGTGTGGTAGATTTCCTAGTCGGTGCTTTCATATGCTGTGTCCATTCATGCATGATCATTGGGCCAACAAGGGCCCTATGCTTAGGTGTAGCAGAGTGTTGCAGCAGGAAACATGAGGCATGTTGAAAGCTCCGGCGATAATCGTACAGCGTGCAGGGTAGGATGCGACTTCCTGGAAGACCAGGACCAGTTTGTCAAACCTGGCACAACAGACGTACGGCGCGTTTTATACCCAGTCTATCAGGAGATCAAGTCTACCTCAAACGGCCTGCCTCTACACTGAGCCTTCAGAAGTGCCAAGGGATACGGTTTGGAACGACGATGCGGAAAACCCGTTCGTGACGTAGTTGAGGCCTCCGCACCCACGTAGATTGCAACGTCCATTGCAGACGTTGGCGTAACTTGGAATGTAAAGAAGTGCATCAGAAGTGTCGGCCGAATGCCAAGTTGCGCTTAGCGGCATCATATGCGGGTTTCACAAAAGAAGG